TGCCCAGGAAAATAAGGTCACCCGGCAGCCCGGCTGGTAGCCTAGGTTTTTTAATAAAATTGTGTATTTTAAGTAGCAATCACACACAACACACACGCATTTTTAATTATTACGAAAAAAGGTTTGTATTCTGTGCATTTATTTTTTATAATTAAAAAAAAATGTGGACGTTATTTTTCCACTGAACGAACAATCGATTAAATTTCGTTCATTCATCAATCAATCAATCAATGGACTGATCAATCCATCAATCAATCAATTACATATACACATGCAACGATACGCTATTTTCATTAGATAATCGAAGAAGCCCACCCTTTTTAATTATAAAAAGCATCACAAAATACACATAATTTTTATTTGTAAAAAAAACAAAAAAAAAACGTGTGCATGTATCTAATTGGTGATATACACTATATAGAACTCCACATAAAAGAAATCATGAGTGAAGCGAACCATTTTGTAGGACTTACATTCTATGTGTGTGTTACGGATCCAATCGATTGGTCAACTGAATCTTATCCCATCCATCCATCTATTGGATACATTTCATTGACCGATTTATGGATCCATCTGGTCATCAATCAATGAATCAACTACTATCATATGCACACACACACACACATACACACCTACATACTCACACACAAACATGGACATAAATGCGACGAAGTTTTTAAAAAATAACCTTGATTATTTGTTTCCCTCCCTCTTCATATTTTAATATGATTTTTTGGGTGATGATCCACCAAACACTAGTCATACAGCAATGTTGCATAACATTTTTTTCCCTTTTTTTTTACCTGGTGTTGGCGGAGGAACCCTGTGTGAGCAGAGTCTTCAAGCAGCATCCAGCGAGTGACAAGTGGACAGAGGGAGGTGTTGTAGGCTAGCCTGAGTAGAGGCAGAAGGAAATAGAGGAAGGCGGTCACAGCACAGTAGGGCTACTACGTTTTTGTTGTACTGATTATTGGAGGCGAGAAGTCTGGCTTTCTTTATCAAGCCACATCACTGTTCTCTTTGCTCCTGCTTGTTGTGCGTTGAGCTTTGGTATTCCACTTTCAACTCCGCTCAGTCGTGCATTCTCTGCTATGAGATTTTGAATTCTAGAAAGGTGTTGTCATTGCATGGTCCCTTCTCTCAATCTCTTCGCGCAGCGGCCATGCTAGTCTTCTTTGTATCGCTCAAATTTTAACACGTCCCGAACCATGCCCTGCCGTTGCAAGCTTATCTTTGTTTATTCCCACTGCATTATTATGCCAGAACCTATAATAAACCCACAACAAAGTGTCATAGGCCGCGGACTCTAACACCAAACCTGTCGACGCACAAACACTATGCGTTTTCATCTGGGCACTCTCCTCTCTCTCTCTCTCTCTCTCTCTCTCTCTCTCTCTCTCTCTCTCTCTCTCTCTCTCTCTCTCTCTCTC